AATAGCAGGGAGCAGGACTGGAAGTAGAGGAGCCAGGACTTGAACTAGCACTCATATGAGATGCCAGAGTTGCAGGCAGAGGCTTAACCTACTGTGCAACAGTACTGGCTCCTCGATTACCAATTGTTCATTGCAGGTACCAAAAAATGTAATTGATTTTTGTATCCTGCAACCTTGCTAAAGTCAATTTTATAGTAGTTTTAGAGCTTTTTACATATATGACATTATTTTCTGTAAATACTTCTTGGGATAAAATAATTCTATTCTAGGAAATGCTCTGCTGACTTTATGATCAATTGTTTTGTCATTAAATGTCGCTCCCCGTCTTCGTGGAGGAACGACACAGGACCCTGCGCTGTTCTTTCATCTGCTCGGCCCTCCCCGGGTTTGCTGCTGGTTCTTCCCTGGTTGGCTACCGTCCCTTCCACCTCCGTGGAAGGGCGGTTCCCCCTGCCGCTTTCCCCACTTCCACGGGGGAGCGGCACACCGCCGGCCGGCTCTCTCGGGGGCTGCACAGGTGTTCCTTCAGATAGATGTTCCCGGTGCATGTTGTCTCTCTCCTCCTTTATAGTCCTCTTCCACCAATCCCAACTCTGCTACCCACACGCCGAGTACGCTGCTCTCCTCCACAGGAGTAGGTCCTACAGTTTATTGGTTGAACTGGAGGCAGCTGGGTAGAAGCTGTTTGCTCCTCTCCCAGCGCCATATTGTGGGAGAGCAGATGCATAGAATAAGTCTTAATTCGAGTAACAGTCTAGTCTGAGTTGCTCCCCACAATTAAAAAATCTTCTAAATGTTGAAAATGCTATTTTTATTGCCTTTGTATCTATTTTCACACAATCAAGATGCAAACCTTTCCTCTCTCTTTTGCTCAGTGTTCTAGAAAATATACACAATAGTCCCTTTTATGTGCAGTTTTGCTTCCTGTGGTTTCACTTTTTCACAGTTAGCTGTGGTCCAAAAATATTAAACAAAAAGCTTCAGAAACAGATGATTCACAAGTTTTAAACTGTGCACTTTCTGAGTAGCAAGATGAACTCTCCCTCCATCCCACTCTATGTGGAAGGCTGGTGGTCCAGTGCATCCACTCTGTATACTATCAGCCAGTTAGTCACTCAGTAGCTGTCTTGGTTATCTGGCCAGCTGTCTTACTGCAGTGCTTGTGTTCAATTAACCCTTACACAGCAGCTCAGCACCACGTAAAAATGCAATGGTCACTTACCTTATTTCATCTCGTATGAGCATCTTATCATCACAGGAAGGATGGGTAGAGTACAATATTTTACGAGACCATATTCACATAACCTTCAGTGTAGCATATTGTTTATTTGTTCTATTTTAGTATTACTGTTCATCTCTAACTGTGCCAAATTTATAAACTAAACTTTACCATATGTATTTATGTGAGGAGAAAACATAGCTTTGAGTTCCACGCTATCCCTGGTTTCAGGCATCCACTGAGGGGCCTGGAAGGTATTTCCCCTGGATAATGGGTAACAACTGGAGTATGAAATAAAACAAGAACATACGTGCAAGTTTACTTCTTAACGCCAAATCTCTATGTCCTCTGTTCTTGTCATACTGCACTGGCCAGGACCTTCAGTACAACGCTGAACAGAAGGAATGACAGCAGCTACTCTTCCTTGCTTTATTTTTAATCTCAGGGGAAAAACTTTCAGAGTTTCATTTTTAAGACTGATTTTAGGTATAGGTTTCTCATGGATGCTTCTTCTCAGTTTGAAGAAGTTCCTTTTTATTTCTAGCTTGCTGAAATTTTATCATAATTTTGTCAAAAATGCTTTTGGTCCATCTTCTGAGCTATATGGCTTTTCCCACTCATTGTTAATATGGTGAATTAATTTGATTTCTGAATTTTAAATCAGTCATGCATACCTAGGATAACCATACCTTGTTATGATATATCATTCTTTTAACACAACGCTGCAGTCTGTTTGCTAGTGTTTTATTAAGAAGTTTTTCACTTATGGTCATGAAGGACATCATGCTGTTGCTTTTTTACAATGTCTTTCTTTGTTTTTTGTAATGGAGAAATGCTGGTTTAATAAATGAAGTTGGAAAAATTTATTTCCTCTTCTTATTTTCTGGAGAACTTCATGTAGGGTTAGTGTTATCTGTTTCTTGACCATTGGATAAAATTAATCAGTGAAGCTATCAGGACCTGAAATTGTCTTTGTGTTGATGATTTTAAATGATTTTTTCCTTTGAAATTCAAAAAACCTTGAAAAGTTGCAAACATAGTACAGAGACTTTCTATATGTATGCACCTTTGACCTAGTTTCCCCTAGTTTAATACAGTATACAACCATGGCACATTCATCAACATTAACAAGTTAATTTTGATTAAATAATCTTAAAACATCTTATAAATTTATCAGTTCTGCTGAAGTCTTCTAAGATCCAACTGCATTTAGTGTTTGGATGTTTTAATTACAATTCAACTTATTTAGCACATTTTATAATTTTTTCTTGTGAAATTTTTGTAATTTGTGCCTGAAAAAATCTGTTCCTTTCATCTGAGTTATCAATTTCTGGCATAAATTTTTTGTAATATTTCATTATTACCTTTTAATATCTGTAGAATCTGTATTAATATCCCTTTTCCTATTCCTGAAGTTTATAATTTATATTATCTCTATCATTGTGATCAGTCTGTCTAGTGGTTTACTACAACCTGTTGATTTTTTTTTTCAAATAACCAACTGTTTGATTTACTCAATTCAATATATAGTTAACATACGAAGAATCTTCAAAAAGATCATGGAAAAAAAGCACCATGAGAAAGCTTTGCATGAATTTCAACAAATTTTTGCAACAAAATAAGCATCTTTTGACTTCACTCTCCATGTAAAAGTAGCAATGATCTCCAAAGATGTGTGAATCCTTGATATAAATAAACTTATTAATAGCTACTCAGATATTATTTTCATTTTCCAAACTACTTGAACAATCATATTCATTTATCTTCGGTAATTTGGCAGTTTATTATTTCATTTGAAACAATTTCAAGTAAATACTCAGTTTTCAAAATACTTCAATCTCTTTAGAAATCAGGAAATCAAATATTGTTTGCAGTTTATGTCCCTTTACTGGTTTTCAAACTGAAGGGGACACATATTAACTTCAATTTATAATGTCTGTAGATTCATATTTCACAGAGGGTGTTTTCAAGCCAAGATTCTTGAAACACTGAGCATTCAAAGTATGACCATCTGTAAAATGGATTCTTGTTTCTGCATTCTGATGACTTTATGAACCTACAGAGATCACTACAGACTGAAAATCCATAGCTTCAAGGGAGTAAACGTCAAAGGGAGCTTCTATGTGGTAGCTTTGGGATCCACAAGGAGGAAAGGCCTACACTTCCGGGAATGCAGAGTCCCTACCTGTACTTCCGGGGAAGAAAGTCCTTGTCAAGGTCCCTGTGGGTGCCTGAAGGTCAACCAATGAGGATCAGACCCGCCTCAACCTTTAACCCCCATGCCCTGAATCTATAAAAGGAGCTCTCCCAATCTCTGACGTGCGACTTCCCCGGCCCCCGCTCTGTTGCTCTGTTGGGACTGGGGAACCTCGCCCGGGAGCGGAACCCCAATAAAAGCCTATGAATTAATTGATTCGTCTGCCTGGGAAGATCTGTTACGCACTGGACACCTTACACTATGCCAACCCTTCCTTACCAGAGGGGAATAAAGGAACTGAAAGGACATATGAAGGTCCCACTGTGCACCTTCTGCACACACAGGTTTCTAGGTTGCACTGAACCAAGTCAGCAGAGCTCTCTTCCTACAACATTTGCCTTTTGACATTTCCTCCAGGTCTGGTTATTGGAGATGCTTGTGTCCCTAATACTCAGCTCTTTGTAAATTACATTCTTGAAATAAGACATCATGTCTGGGAAATAGAGTCTATTCAATTAACTATAGGTGAATGAATGAGTATTTCATATACTCAATAACACAAATTTGAGCTCCATCGTACAATCTTGAGATCTTAGATAAAATGAGACAAAGGAACTTATTAAGCAAAAGACCGAGAAAACAAACTATATAAAAAAAACTAGTTGATGTTCCTGAAACTTGCTTAAGACTTTTATGCCAAGCAGAAGTCACAACTGATTCCCCACATCTCTAAGTACCCTTGGTGTGCCTTCCTCATGAAATCCTACTTACCTGGCTCTACCAGAAACTCCAGTGCTCTTTGTTCCAAGGACACTCCGAGTTTTATATACGAGATAGCAAGTGGCCTAGTGTTCTCTTTCTGCTCATGGTACTACTCCAGTTTCTAATCCCTCTCACTCTTCCATCCAATCCAATTCAGACTGAGCACATACTAATGTGGGATAGTGTCTGGTACTGCATGCAGTGAGCAGAACAGACGGAGCAATGCTCTCAAACAACTTTCAGTGCAGCCTGTCTTGGTTCTTAACATCTGCCTCCTTCATTCCTGATCATGTGGTATCTGCTCTGCCCTCAGAGATAAAACTACTCCCCTCAATTCTAGATGGAGTACTCATAATTCACATCATCTTTTGTGTTATCTTGGATTCTGGACTTCTCATTTCCATCCTAACCCCCTCTGGCTGGACATTTAAAACCTTTTCTGCACTCTCTAGATTTGGCTTATGAGATTCTTCTTGTCTGTTTTCCTTTTTTTTTTTTTTTTTCCCCCACAGTCAGGTTGAAAGCCACCTTCTACTATGAGTCTTCCTGGATTCATCATGCCAACTCTTGGGTGAGGAGTATATTTCATTTTGCTAGACACAAGAGGATATAAAGGTCATTACATTCCTCCCCTAAAAGAGCTAAATCTTCTGGAAAGACAGCAACAATAAGACCTTGCTCCTCCTGTACCTCATGGCATTTTAAAAATCTAGCTGATGGACAGTGCGAAATTCCCTTCTGTTAGTCTGCTAACATCCTAAATGTAAGAACCATGTCTGATTTTTAACCTGGGGCCAATGCCACATAGGGTAAGGTACTCACGAAACTAAGACCGGGATCTTGGGCATCTTCTTAGAGACTTTAAAGAAACTTGTGTCCCCTTTGTTGTCAGTGAAGTACACGCCTGCCACACTGGTCACAAGGTTGCCAGGGAACGTGAACAGAACCCTCTCATCTTCGCCCTGGTTGGCCCAATCCCAGGCTTGGCCTCCTATGAGCAAGCCCCCTCCGCGTTTCATAAATTGGACCAGTTTCTCGATCATGGTTTCATTGTAGGCATCAATACAGTAAACCCCCAGGGAGTCTTTCACTTCTGGCTCAATCTTTGCCTCCACTCCAGAGCCTTCGAGGATTTTGACCAAAGGTGCCACAGAAGGGTGCACACCAATGGGAGCCCCGGGGGAAGAATTTAGCCATCCCATGGCATTAAGGAGAAAGGTACTGAGATGGGCTTCCACCATGTAGTCTTCATGGGATAAGACGACCAGGCGGCCTCGGCCGTAGGAGGAGGCAGCAATGAGGACCTGACCCATGTCATTCACCATCACAGGAAATGAGGCCTCTCCAATAAGAAGCAGTTCACTTGGCGTGGGTTCATCAGGGAGATCCCAGCTTATCACTCCATTCATAAGGGCCTCAAAGGCAGCAGAGGGAGTCGCCATGGCTCTAGTGGTTTCTGCAGAGAAAATAATTATGGTTTAGTTTGGTGAAGAATGTATAAACCAAGAGAGAAACAAGCGGAATACCTCACTGTTCTGACAGTTGGGGTAAGTCCTCCTACAATTGCACCTTACAGACAATATGACAACATGAAGCGACTCAAGCTCCCCAAAGCAGCATCTGCAGTCCAGGTGACCCCATCGTGCTGTCCTTGGAAACTCTTGAGGTCAAACTTGCAGAGCTTGACACTTCTGTGTCACAAAAGGAGGCTAAGGGTGTCCCCAAAGAGATATTTTGAAGTACAAAGCCTTAGTACCTATGAATATGATTTTATTTAGAAATGGGTTCTTTGTAATCAAGTTAAGATGAGATCATACTGGATTTGGATGACATCTCTCATAAGAAACTTAGAGACAAAAAGACACAGATATTTGGGGGAGCAGAAGATGGTGGAAGTGATTGGAATGATGCATCTACAAGCCAAAAGACACCAAAGGTTGCTAGCGCACACCAGAAGCTAGAAGAGAGGAGAGGCACAAGACAGATTCTGCCTCCGAATGGCAGAAATGAACAGTACTGCTGTCACCTAGATTCCCAAGCCTCTGGATCTAGGAAAGAATAATTTCCCATTGCTGTCACCCACTGTAGTAATCAGTAATCAGCATGCTAGCCCCCTGTTGCCTGTTCCAGCCCTTTTGGCTCCCACAACGATTAATTCCAGTTTGGTAAGTACACAACTTTAGTCTGAATGTTCTGGGCTCTTGGAGAATGTTCTTTGGTTAAAGTGATAGAATAGGTAAGGGGAAATGGAAGTTCTCTGTCCCAGACAGCCAGGAGCAGAAGGTTAACAAGTTGTGAAATGACGGCACACTCTTATTGGCACCTAAGAGATAGCTGAGAAAGCTGTGCCTGTCTGCAGATCTGAACTCACAGATACCCTCTGCTCCTTCACTCACGAGCTCTCTCATTAAGCATGCCTTACATTCTAACCTCTGCTACATGCACTTAACTGAAACAGGTCCTCCCAAGCCAGAGAGTTTTCATAATGAGGACAACCAGGGCTTCTTGTCCTCACTGACCAGCCCTGGGCATGAATGCTCTTCCAGTCCAGGAGGCTCACCTCTAACAGTGTGGCCACAGAAGTCTCTTTGATCCTCAGTCTCTGGAACCACTTATTTTCAGTTCTTGCCTTAGTTCTTGCAAAATGCAAACAATTCCTAAGTTTTTAATCTTTGGTCCTTATCTCTTCTCTAGTTCTCTCATCAGAGAATATGTTCCCTGTCTTCTTCCATTTGGTGCTGCTGTAACAGAATACCTGAGAATGGGTAATTTATCCAGAACAAAAATTTTTTACAGTTCTGGAAGCTGGGAAATCTAAGACTGAGTGGGGCCCTAGGGTGGTGAGGGCCTTCATGTGGCATCATTCCATGACAGAAGGTGTAAGAGTGAGAAAACATACATGAGAGAGAGTGAGGAAGGGGGTTAAACTCACCCTTTTATCAGAAACCCACTCCCATGATAACTAATCCACCACTGCAGTGATCACATTAATCCACTCAAATCATTTCTTGAAGATCCCATCTCTCAACGCTATTGCGCACGTTGCCATCACATGAATTTTGGAGCACACGTTCAAACCACAGCACTCACTCTCAAGGTAATGTGCAAAATGATCATAAGCTTGGACCCTGCAGTTCATGCTGTCTGGTTCTGAATCTAGGCTCTTCTGTTTCCTAACTGTGAGACTTCGACAACACATCTCAGACTTAGCTTCCTTATTCATTATATATTTAGCCATGTACCTCAAGTCACTGTTAAGGAGGTATAATCAATTAATACTTGATCAACAAAAGTCTTGTCCCTACCCTACCCTCCTTGTGTCCACAAATAACCAGGACAGTAAATCACACAGACTCACACATCCCTTCTCCCTCTTGTTCTCACATTCAGCTGCTCATAGCCTTGTCAACTCCTTGTTCACAGTCCCCAATAACTCATCCACTCACCTTGACTAGATCCTTAATGGGTTGTGCCTGGATTAAACTGATTTGATTCCTAAGCATCAGAATCTGTTCCTATCTATATTCTTTCTAAAACCACTTCAATTCCATTAATTCCCTGAAGAGAAAGCGACATAGCTTCCCTTTCATCCACAGGAAAAAAATCTGATGACTTCTTCCCAGGACCTAAGACCTCCAGGGCTGGCCACTCCTTAGATTCTCCAGTCTCCTGCTCCCTCCCCCTGCAGCTTCTAGTCCCCAGAGGCATGCTTTCATTTCACATTCCCTTTCCTTCCCCCACATATTTCTATCTAAGGAATTTCTATCTTTCTAAGATAAGATATGCACAGAAGAAGAAACTCAAATGGCCACTTCCCTGAAAAGCTCAGTCTCACAAGTCATCAGGAAATGTAAAATTCATATATGTTGTATAAAAGAGTGTCAAAAAGAAAAACTAGGAGGATGAGGAGGAAGAGGAGAAAGAGAGGAAGATGAGGAAGATAAAGAAAATGAGTGCAGCTAATAATGCCCCTTGCTGGAAAGTCCACTATCAATCTCCTGGAGGGACTGAGAATGTAGTCTGGTTTGGAAGGACTCTGACAGTGGCAATTAGGTTTCAAAGTCCCTCTTCCAACAGCCTATCCTAAGAATGAAAGCAGCAGTATTAAAGATACATTTGTAAGGATGTTGACGGTGACACAAAACCACAAATGGAGATAAATAAATAAAAATACAGAAATGGAGACAGAAAGACCAAGACAATGAGTGCTCTGCAGTATCCAGTTTTGCCTCTTGGGGTGCAGAATCTCTACCCTAAAACCACTCTGTGTAACTTCCACATATCCTCCAGATACCCTACTATACACATCACAGCTCCCAGCCGCCCACCTGATTTTCCCTAAGGAGTTGCCCAGCAGACCAAAGGGTCCAGAGCTGATGCACCAAGCCCACCAGGGCAGGGAACTCACAATTCTTTCTCATTCATTGTTCTCTAAGTAACTCAATGATAAATTAAATCTACATTGCATCTACCTCGAAGAATGTTCCAGATATATCTGTATTTCAAGTGAAAATTTCAAGTCGTCACATGTAGACATGAACAATTTTCATATGAATAAAGATAGAGATAACAGTAGTAGTGATAACAATACCAGCTTACCAGGTTCCTGACATTATCATAGTGATTCATGTCACTTACTTAGTCCTGACAAAATTATGAGGGGCATACTACCACTATTCTCATTTTATAGATGAGCAAAATCCAAACCACCACCAAACCCTGATGTCCAGAGAATGTTCTAACTTGCTCAAAGTCACATAGGTGACGGTAGATCAAGTATTCAAACCCAGGAAATGTAAAGATGGAGCCTACGTTCTGAATCACCAGAAACATGAAAGTACCTGTTACAAACTAAGATTCTGCATGCATACAAAAATCTGTGGAGGCCACGTTTCAACCTGCTAGCATTGGCTACACTGAGAAGGGAAGAAGTGAAGTCTTTATACAAGTCTGCATCCTTTGAACTGTTGCCTGTCACACTATTACCATTAAAAACAACACTGAGGCTGTATTAATTCAGCCAAGCAAATGCTCACTACAAGGCTGAAATAATACATGATTGGATTTACCAGCTGCTATTATCTCACTGGCCCTGAGAAGTCTCTCTTCACCTCCCAGCAGGTTGTGCATCCGCTCACCTATAGATTTCATTCTCTCCTCTGTGAGGGCTCCTTGAACTCTGTGGCTGTTTCTCTTTCCACTTTAACCTAGCTCTCGCTGATTCAAACGCTTGACTTCTGAACCCACTGCTACCTCTCTATACTGAAACACCTGTTTGTTCTCTTAGCTTGGTGAGTTAAGAGCGACATGACCTGGGGGAAACGCCCTTTCATTTCTCTCAATCTTCTCCATGGTTCGTTCTATCAGCTGGGCCCGTTCTGGCTCCTTTAACTTTCTCGAACCAAAGTCGCCTGCAAAGCAGAGGGTACCTCAGGTGCAACCTGTGACTCAGGAAGGGAGCAGCTCATGGGACCTGGAAGGGAAGGTGGGTTGACGGCCGTTTCGGTACTGCACTACCCACATGTGTTTCTCGGGGGGGAGATACATTCTAAGCCCTGGTATAAGCCTGAAATTGAAGCTGGCACTCAACTTTATATATACTATGTTTTGTTGCTACACATACATAGCTAAGATAAAGCTTAATTTATAAATTAAACACTGAGAAATTTAAAAAATTAATCATGAAAATATAATTATTATAACACTGTCTTACAATAAAATTAAGTGAATGTGGCCCATCCCTGTCTCTCCCTCAAAACATCTTAATGTACTCCATGTAGATCTTAGCAAATATCGCATACGATTTTTCCCTATCTTTGTTGAGAACTTCTTTTTCATATGAAGGAAGAACCTTACAATTTCTCTTCAGCCTACTGGAACTGCCAGCATCCATATTCTTCACTTTGGAGTTTAAATCAAGCAAAATAAGGGATACTTGCACAAGCACAGGGATGCTCAGACAGCTGACCCATAACCCTGGGGCCACTAAGTGATGATGTGGGTAACATGAGGACTGATTCATGATCAGGGCGGGGCAGTGCTGGCCATCAAAAAACTTCCGTTATGCTGTGCTGAAGACCAGAGTTGACTGCGGGTAACCGAAAACTGTGGCAAGTGAAACTGTGGATAAGCCTGGGTTACTCTGTAGTTTGACTTCAAATCCTGAAACTGCAGTGTCTGAGGTCAGAGAATGTTGTTTTCTTTGGATACCCCAGGAAAGTGCATGGGCATTCCAAAGACGGGAGACTGATGGACGGATGGGCAAACCTTCAGCCAACAGCTAGCCTGACCCTGGAAACTCCCTAGTAACACCGACATCCAATTGCACAGGTCTTCTCTGCACGCTGTACTCTTCCTTGAGCCCCCTTTGCTTTCTGTTCTCTTACACATCCAATATTTGTTCCATTGTCCATCAACTTCTAAGCCAGAGCTGGGGCTGGGCCAAACCCTGCTTTT